GCCAGTTTTGTGCCTCTGTATGGATTATGGGGTTTGATTATGAGGGAGGGGGGCAATCAGGACCATGGACCTGCAATGAGAGCTGTCCAGCGGGGGTGGGTTATTGGCTGCCGTGACACTCCCCCCGGGGGATAGTTCTCCTCCTAGGTCTCAGGAGACTGAAACTGTTGGGACCAAGTCGCTGCAGGGGCCCTATAGGCACCATGCAGGAACAACACCAAGTCCGGGGGGGGGGGTCAACTGAATTTAGGCTTGAAACAGATGGACTGAATATGAGACAGGCTGTAGTTTGATATCATCACCTTTTGTAGTGTGTGTTGTCAGCTGAGCCTAACACGACGAGGGAAAATAGTTTTAATTGGCAGAAAATTTAAAATCAGCGCGCGTGCCTGCGCCAAAGAAAAACAAGAGTTTGTTTCTGCCTTTTAAGTTCTTTATTTTTCTTTCTGTTACAGATAATGAGATCCAAGCATCACGTTTGTGAATACCTGAAATCCATTTTAATGGCCGTGTGTGTGTGTGTGTGTTTGTGAATACCTGCCTGACAGTTTTCCATGTCAGGTGGAAGAAGAAGAAAAAAGAAGAAGAGTTTGGTGAAGAAGTGTGTGTGGAGGACAAACCGGTGGATGCTGTTAGCACCCCTTCTCCTCCTCCCCCTTTTCTCCTCACCTCCTCATCTTCCTCACCCCCTCCAACACCATCTTATTTTCCTCTCCTTCAATCTCTCTCTCTCTCTCACACACACCCTCCCTCTATCCCTCTCTTCCACAGACGTGCACAACCACACTACATTCTACAAGAAATAATTGCTTTTGTCTGGAAGGAGTGCAGGGAGGAGGGAAAGGGGGCGCGCATGGCTCCCTTTGTGGGGAAAAGGGGGTCTTTGAAGGACAACTACAGTCACTTCTCCCTTTCTTTTCCTTTCTCCTCTCTCCCTCTTCCTGCCGCTCCTCCATCATCGCTCCTCCTCGCTCCTATTTCGTCCCTTCTCTTCTTCTCCTCTTCTTCCTCACCGGACCTGCGGATGTCATCTGTCATGTGTGAAGCGGAGGGAGAAGGACAATAAAACCAGGTTGTCTACAGCAGGGGATGAGACATTTCTCATAATTAGGAAACTGCCAGGTTAATGTGCACCTCACATCTTTTCAGCAATTAGTCTGCTGATGAGTGAGTGATGCTGGGTGAAGATAGGCAAATATCTCACTGTGCATGTCCACGGAGGCCTAATCACCCCACAGATACAAGCCTCCAGCCTTGTAGGGGGAGGGGGTGGGCTCTCAGGCCCAACAGTAGCAAGAGCAGACTTATTCCTATTGATTTGCTCGTATTGACTGCGATGTTTAAGGTATAGATTTTTCTATTTAAAAATCTATATCGACAATAATCTGGTGTGTAAGCGTGCGGCGGTGACAGAGGCTGGCCTGTAATTGACAGCATGTAACATGTCAGAACTAGGGAGGGAGGAGAAGGAGAAGATTTTTGACTTTTAACAAAATTTTATAAGTTAACACAACAGGAACAAGATGAAGAAGAACAAGAAAAGCAAGAACAAGAAGAGCAACAACAAGAGCAAGATAAATGAGAACAAGATAAACAAGAACATTTGATTTTTAATAAAATTTTATTTACACAAGTTAACACAGAAGAAGAACAAGACCAAGAACAAAAAGAAGAAGAACTAGAAGAACAAGACCAAGAAGATGAACAACAAGAAGAACAAAAATAAGAACCAGAACAAGAAAACAACAACAACAAGAAGAAGAACAAGACCAAGAAGAAGAAGAACAATAATAAGAAGAAGGAAAATATTTTTGATTTTTAACTAAACTTTATCCTCGCACAGTGATTGCTGGACATGGGCACCAGCGACCCCCGTGACCCAAAATGGAATAAGCGGGTAAAGAAAATGGATGGATGGATGGATGAACTAAACTTTATTTACACAGATAGCACAACAGTGTTAAAAAAGGTGATGGTAAATGGACTGTACTTATATAGCACCTTTCTATCTTATAAAGATATTCAAAGCTCTTTGCACTACAATCTGTGTCCTCATTTACCCATTCATACAGCACTCTACTAGATCTCTACAAAGCTATTTGAACAAATCATTCTAAAGAGACTAATCAGACCTTTATCACATTCATACACCGATGGGACATACATGAGAGGCAGTGAGGGGTTCAGTGTCTTGCCCAGGGACACTTTGACATGTGACTGCTGGTGGATTCGAACCCCTAACTCTTGCATTGGAGGACGACTGCTCTAGCCACTCATCCACAGTCGCCCCAGGACAAGCTTAAAATAAAATATTTACATGACAAGAGCAAGAAGAACAAGACCAAAAAGAAGAACCAGAGAACAACAACAAGAACAAGAAAAAGAGCAAGACCAAGAACAAGAAGAAGAAGAACAACAACAAGAAAGAAATAGATATGGGGCAACAGGAGGATACAGGGAGCAAATCTTCTTGGGACTTGCACGTGCTTTCAATAGCTATGTTTACATGCGCAAAATTCTTTGATCGGATTTAAATGAGTTCAGATAAAATAATCAAAATGTATCATTTACGTGGGCACAATCCGTTCACAATGAACGTTTACATGCACCGGGCTTTTACTCAGAATAGAAGTACTGACATACGCAGAGTGATAAACTCTCCTTACAAAAAATCACAGAAGTTCTACTTCCGTGATGAACGTAAACAAACCTGAATGCCCAAAATTGACCCGCGCCAGGTTTTAATGACGGTGGAGACGTTGAGCTGCAGGTAATACAGATCGTTTTGAGCTCTTTCAAAGTTTCTAGAAATGTTGTATCGCTCACCGACCAGTTTTGCTTCCCCGACATATATTAGCATCTAGCCAGGAAATACGTGATGTTGACAGAGGTTGCACATGCTCAGTCAGGTCAGTTTTCCATGATCAGATTAAAATGATCAGATTAAGTGTTTGCATGCACACCGTTCAGATTATGAATCAGCATAAACCACCCCTCTCATTCGGATTTAAAAATTCATTCGGATCGAGCTGAATCAACAAAGAATAATCTGAATGGGAAGGCTTACATGACACATTTTTATTCAGAATGGCCGTTTAATCTGATTACTTAAATCCATGTAAACACAATGTTTGGGTTGATTAGCCTACTCATTGCAATGAAGAAAAACAGATTTGGTGAATGTGTCCTTAATGCAAAAAACATGTTAGCAAGTGAGGTCGACAGTGGTGACCACCATGGAAAAGCTGTTTGGGATTGAGTTGAAATCAGTTTGAAACGGTAAACTTACGGGTCTAGCAGAAGTTTTGCAATAGCTGTGCGAGTTTTAACACGTCTCACTCGTTTTCTTCTCTTTCGCTTTTCGCAGCAGATTAACGACTTCTCAGAGAATCTTGTCCGATTCCGCCATCTTTTAAGCCTTAAGGTCAACCTCTTGACTCAAGCTTCTGCTTGGTGTTCGGTGGATTCAGCCGAGTGTTTTATTTACATAAAGTGCGTACCTGCGTTTCAGAGTTGCATATGATACTTCCAATCACACTATAAAGTTCAGGTTACTCTGTTTTCATGTTTAATTGTATATTTTGCAATGATTAGTAGGAGGAGCTTTAAGATGTTATGTCAGCTTCAAGTTCTTCTATTTTTCTATGTGAATAAATGATACACCCCTCTCAGGAAAGGAGTTATTTAAAGCGGATGTAATGAGGAAATTGTGCGCATGCGCCAAAACAATCCATGGATTCTCTTATTCATCCCTTCCCAAAGAGTAATGCACTGATCACCATTGGCATCATTATAGACGGTATTATTAAGAGAGGAGGGGTGGAGGGTGCAAAAATCAATACAGGATACCTTTTGCAGCGGTAGTGAAAACGAGGGGGGAGGAGTGGGGGAGGCAGGAGGGAGGGATTGAGGAGATGGACGGAGGGAGGGGGTGGGTGGGCTGGTGATGTGTGAGTAGTAGCGGGTCCTCTCCTCTCCTCTCGTTCGCCTCAAATGTTGCGGCCAGCCCTGTAGTGGCACATCGCTACAGTCCTGGAGGGGGGAGCCGGCTCGTATGAGTGAAGAGCTAGAGCCCAGAATTATTTATAATATAAATATATATTTAAAGAAACAAACAGACAAAAACAACAACAAAAAAAAGCAAACCAAAAAAAAGAGAAAAGAAATTGTTGTAAGAGACACACAGACGGATGGACGGAGAAACGGCAAGTGTTCCGCTAAAACGCGACATGATGGTGGGATGATAGCAGCCGCGGCTGCTGCTTCCTGTTTCTACTCTGTGCTTTTATTTACTTAGTTGTTCGCGGTGTTTATTTATTTATTTATCTGCCTATCGATTGATTGCGTTTTAATTACAGAGCGCGAGGGAGGAGGAGCGTCGGGGCCATACGCTGCGCGCGCCTCGCCTTTTCTAACCATTTTTGTTTGTTTTTGTTTTTTTGTTTTCCTCCTTCTTGTTTGGATTTTGTTTATTTATTTATTTGGAACGAAGCTGTTGTACATGCTCGCGCGACGCTGCTGCTTGTGGATGAACGCAGGTGTCCATATCCTTTATAGCCCTCGCGCGACGGCGCAAGAGGAGCAGGAGCGCGTGCAGCTATTTGACCAAATGCACGAGCGAATAGTGCAGGAATAAGTGAAAAACTGCTGAACAGAGGGGGTCATGAGCCACATGAGACTCGACTGTTCTCACCTTTTCTTACAGGAGTGAGGATGAAATAATCTTCCGTGGTGGGGGGGCTATTTGTTTACTCAAGGAGAAAGCTTTAGCAGAACAAAGACAGGTGGTATTGTTTAATCTAAACTTGTAATTGTAAAGTTTCATGCTGCAGAAGTTGATCTCTCCATCCGTCTGTGTGTTCAGCTGCACTTCAAGGGACCATCCTTATATCTATGCACATTTAGGCTACACCAAAAACACCCCCCCCCCCCCCCCCCTCCAAGAAAAGCTCAATGTATGCCGGGAACCAGCGTGAATAATAGTTAATAATAATAATAATAATAAAAAAAGGAGTGCGCAGCAACTGTGGGGCTACATGTGCACACACCCATCCAGCTCCTCCAGCAGAGTAAATCCCCAAAGCCGCCAGCGGGAGAGTCGGACGGAGGCGCAGGAGGTTCGGAGGAGGACGGAGCTCGTCCCGGTGCTTTGCGTCCAGACGAGGAGGACCAGCAGCAGGAGGAGGATCATGTTTGTTCCCCTGCCGGTGCCGTTCGTGTTTCAGAGAACCGCCCCTGACCTCAACGCCTGGCGTCTCAAGTCCCCCCTGGCTCTCCGCTCCAACTCCGGTAAGACATGATTTTTACTCCTGCCGGCTCGCACCTCCTCGGTGTCGGCCAGCCGCCCTGTCTGTCTGTCTGTCTGCCTGTCTGTCTGTCTGCCTGTCTCACTGTGCGGACGCGCTCGCCGCCGGCGCGCACACACCCACTTCTTACCTGGTCTCCTTAATTTTTTTTTTTTTTTTGCGATTTTTTGGGGGGATGGGGAGTCAAAATAAGAGCAGCTTATAGTTTCCAGACTGAAATATAAAAACGTCCTCCTGTTCTTGTCCACGCGCATGCTGTTCCAGCCCGGTGTGGTTCGCTTCCCTCGCCGCCTCCACGCGCTCCTTTCTCTGGGTGGGTTTGATTTTTGTTCCTCCCGCGTCCTTCCCGTCCTCTCCACTGCTGCGCCTGAGCCTCAGCCTCCGACTCTCCCCGACTAGACTCTCGACAGGCAGGGAATATTCATGCCAACTTATCGATCCTGCGGAGATCGATTCCTGGGCTGGTGGAAGAAGTGAGAGGGGGAGACAGAAGGAGAGCGGAGGTGCAGGGAGGACCATGCTGAAGGAGGGGAACAGCTCCGTTTATCTGCTGCTTCTTAATAATATGTGGTGTTTGCGCTGCACCTGGAAATATCAGTGAACTCTGGTCTGGTCCAGACTTGCAGAAGTTGCAGCCAAATGTTTCCATAAACACTTCTTCTTTTATTGCATCCACCTGTCCCGCTGCTGGTTGAAGGAGCACAGGGAGTGAGGAGTCAGGGAGGTGGGGTGGGGGTGGGGGGTGCTGAGGCTGTGGCGCCTTCTTCATCTGCGCGCAGAAGGACGCATGGTGGGTTCAGTGTCAGTCTGTGTGGACTCTGTTCAACTTGACCCCTTTGACTTCCCCTGTCCTGCAGGTCCACACCGTGCAGGCCTTCAGAGGACACACAGGACACTCACTGGGGGGCTGCATGCTCCAAACAGGAAGCAAAAAGAAGTGGGAGAGTGCATTTGTCTGTTAGCGAAATATCTCATGATCAAAGGGGGACGGATTATAATGAAACACCCAGAAAGTAACACCTGGATGCAGGGCTACAACTGATACATTTTTGGAGTTTGCTCCATTCAAGATGGCCGCCACAGCTAAGAAATCTTGGCAAACACAAAACGGGCTATAGCTCGACTCATTTTACAGACACTGAGCTGAACCTTGGTGTTTCATTAGCAGAGAGTATTTTCCACCACATACTCAGAGAGCGCTGATTCCTCGCGCAAGACCTGCCTTTAAAGTTGCCATTGACTGTTGGAGTTGAGCATGTTTGTCTGTTAGCAAAATATCTCATGAACAATGGGACACATTTTAATGAAATCTTCAGAAAATAATCACTTGCTGTAGACCTGAAATTGGTTAACGTTGGGAGTCAACCCAAATCAAGATGGCTGCCTTAGACAACTGACCTTGGGAAACACAAAAATAACTGCAACAGTCACTTTTACAGACAATGAGCTCAAATCTGTGGTTTGAGAGTCAGCCTCTTTGAACTTTTTAAAATGATCTATTATTGCTGCCGTTGTGTTCAATGGTGGGTTTTATGGATCTTTGGATCCTAAACTGTCTTACAGCAACACATATCTCTTTCCCAGATCATTTTTGTGTCTATTTGATGGGAGGAAAGGTCAGTTTCACCTTGTAGTTCTCGTCCTCAGTCAACAGTGTGCAACATGTGACAGTAAAGCGGACAGGTGATAGAAGTAAAGAGAGAAAATAGGTTCAGAAGGATGAAAATGACCTGTTACCTGCTAAATCTCTGGAGATACACACAGTGAGAAGAGGGGAGAGATGCTGCAAGGAGGATGAGGTGCATGCCAGGACCAAGGAGGAGGAGTTTTGTGCTCCGCTTGTTGAAAAATGGCCAATGTCAGAATGAGATAAAAAAAAAAAATACATGGAAAAAGGGAGTGAGAGAGGAGAGAAGTGGGTGAAAGTAAGAGCGAGATGACAGAGTGAAAAACGAGGAGGGTGAGGGAAACTCAGTTTGAGCTTTGAGAGGTGAGAAGAAACCACAGATGAGCCATTATGTTGCAGCGTCCCAGGCCAGGAGCAGCATCTGAATAAGCAGAGGCGAGCTGATGGGCTGCTGAGCTCCCCGGACGAGGAGATGGCAGTGATTCACAATCTCATGCTGATTTTATTCTGTTCAGATGAAGCCGTGCAGTGCTTGAACAGAACAGGACTTATTATATTTACCGCCGAGACATTTTGAGATTATGGTCAAAAATGCAATTTTGGGTTGCAAAAATTTTGCTTTTTGCCTCAAATGTTTTCTCAGCAGGGGCGCATGTAGAAAAAAGATGAGGGGGCATGGATAGTCTTGAGGTGGCACACAAAAATTAAAAGCCATCGCAGAATTTCAGATTTATTATCTTCTTGTACAATAATATGGGATTTTGTTGTCTGATATAAGCCTGTTTTTTGTTTTGTTTTGTTTTACTGTTGATGCACAGTAGCATGTCCTCACTTAAATTTATTAGTTTTTTAAACTATTTTATGCATGTAACCTCCTGGGACACTAAATACTGATGCGATGACACGACAACGTTGACTTTCTGCACCATATTTGATTCCACTAACTTTTTAAGTAAAACATTTTAATGGTACTCAGTGTAAACTAAATCAAACATAAAAATGTTTATCCTGAACTATATCAAAGGGCACAGATTAAAAGAGCTTAATTGAGCAGTTTCCTAAATATGCAATTGTAAAATGTGGGTGTGCACTCAATGTAAACAAAGCAGGGGGCCGGACATCCAGCAATTAAAGTAATTATGTAAATAAACCAATGATCTGTTACCTTTTAAATTTGTTTATTTTATTGCATTGAGTCATAAATGCAATAAACAGAACCCAAACACATACCCCCTCCCTCCCCCCCCAAAAAAAATAGTTCTACTAATTTACACATGAAATTAAAAATGCACACCAAACAAAAACTCTTGAGTCAAGCAGACAAGACTGTCTGGCAGAGGGTGGGGTAGTAAATATATCAGGGTGGCCATCCCTTCTAAGGCCCCCCTGGTGGTGCCCCTGCCCCCCCAGCCAACACAGCTGTCCCGTGCAGTCGCAGGCCTCTTGACTCGCGCTCTCAGTTAACTCGTCTCTTTGACTGGTGGCAGCTACTTGACTCCTTTGCGTCAGAGCTCTGTGCGGGGTCAGAGGTCATGGCAGCAGTGTTAGGCCTGACCCCTCTCTGCCCCCCTGTGCTTTCATTCCCTTTCATGTAACAACAGGCCTCGAGCACTCGCGCGCAGCCCCTGTAGGGGGGCTCACACATGCACGTCATCATAAAAAACAGACGGGGCTGTCGTGTGTACAGTAGGAGCTGAAAACAAGCGAGTTTCCTCCTGCTGAAACCCATCCAGGTTTTGTTCTATTTTTAATGGTATTGTGTCGGTGAAGGTGCAGGTCAGTGCCACTGCTGTGTGAACGGTCCGTGTGCACGCGTCGTAAACTGGTTTTGTGGAGCCATCAGCATTAACCGGCGTATGAAAGTTTAATGGGACATGGAGGAGAAACTGAAGAGTTTCCCACACGGCGCAGGCCTTGATATGATACGATGGGACATCAAGGAGACTGAAGACGGCTTTTTTCTTTCACACGTGCTTACACACACACGCCTAGATTCAGTTCATCTCAGACACTCACCGACTTTCACACAACATTACCCACCATCTCCCTCCGTCTGACTATTTCACAAGCGCTTATACTTACAGATACATTTCAGATTTTAGACCCGCATAGGTTGTTCTTTTTCTGTCAGAATTACATTGAACTACCTGGAACATTCACGGTTGGGAAAAATAATGTTTATCACTTGCTGCCATGAAACGTGTGCTGTAATATATTGTTTGTGTTTGTTTCTCTGTCTGTTATTAAAATATCTCATGAACCAGAGAGCAGATTTTAATCAAACTCTCTGAACGTAGTCCCTGGATGTAACTCTATAACTGATAAACTTTTGAAGCCAACTCGATTCAAGATGGCCGCCACAGGCAACTGATCATGTCAAACACAAAAATGGCTGTAATTCAGTCAATTTTAGAGATGCTGAGCTAAAAGTTGGTGTGTAGCTGAGAGCAAGCTCCAGTACTCTGCGCTCTAACAAATCCGGTGGCATCAGTTTAAAACTTTGCAAATAACCATTAGAGACAACCCTTTCTGTCTGTTAGCAAAATATCCCATTAAGCAGTGAACAGCTTTTATTGAAACAGTCAAAAACTCATTAACTTTTGGAATCAACCCAATTTAAGACGGCTGCCACAGTTAGTTGAACCTAGCAAGCACGGCAATGGCTAGAACGTAGTAACTTTTGCACATAATGAGCTAAAGTTTGGTGTGGTAGTAGCTGAGAGTTATCCACAACACATATTTTGAGCGCTAAGATCTTTGTTTAAAACTTTGACACACAAGATGGAAGACGATATGAGTTCCTGAGTGGATTTCAATAAAATACTTGAGCTAAACCCATTATCGAACGTGTCAGCTGCTCTCTTCATGTGCTAACCGCTTACTTTTAAGACATTTTATGATGCGCACAGGGCCCTGGCACATGTATTTAATTGCTACATGATGTAAGAACATGCATGTGCTCACCCCTTTGCTTTGTGTGTGTGTGACGAAGAGGCAACGAGTGTGTAAGCGTGCGCACAAGTATGAACACACGTGTGCAAACCTGTGTGTGTAGGTATGGATTGGTTTGTAGAAGGGAGCGTGCAAGTCGCAGTGTTAACATGATTGCAAATGACAAAATGTCAACCTGGGTTTGTTAGCAACATAATGGGGAATCAATAGACACGAGAAAGATGTCAATACTACATGCTTTATTGCATTAAGCTACCTCTCTCGTTCTGTGTGGCTCCCCTCTCCTCTCCTTTCCCCTTTTTGCCTCTGTCACAGTCCCTCCCGCTCCCTCCGCTCTGCTCTCCCCGTGGTGCTGGAATTAGATTGCAGCATATGAGCCTGAACGCAGCACGCTGATGGCAGAA